TGTTGCCTAAGAAAAAAGCAGCGCCAAAGAAAGAGACCGCAACAAGAAAAAGAGAAGACAGCTCAGAAGAAGAGGAAGAAGATTACTTTTGCTTAGTTTGTATGGGACCATATAAAAAGTCTAGGTTAGGAGAAGACTGGGTGCAATGTATGGAATGCAAGAGGTGGGCTCATGTAAAGTGCACAAAAGATGATCTTTATTATGTTTGTATAAACTGCCACTCTTCAGAACTACAAGTAGAATCAGCACAAATTGACGATAGCGATTAAGTTTTTTATTTTACTTTAAATTCACTAGATGTTTTTCTACACATTTGTTTCTTACATAAACATTTATCAAACATTTATGTATCTATACTTAACTATAAAATAAATTTATTATGGAAACTTTGTTATTATTCTCCAACTAAAGTTTATTATATTTAAAAATATTTACTGTCACAACCTGCCCCAAGTTCGTCACAACTTACCCCATATTGGGGCAAATTGTGACAATATGTGCATTTTGTAAAACTATTTACATACTGTAAGGTATTGCTTAAAAATTGCTGATGTTCCCAAATAATGATTCCCAATTAAAAATAGTACCTCATTAAAGTAATCTAACAGCCCTAAAAATTACGAAAAAAATGTTAAAAATTATTTTGTCCAAAGTGGCACAACTAGCCTCAGTCTACCCTACCTATCTTTTTAGTTTTGTAATAATTTTTAAATTACAAACTTACAAAACGCCTGGAAATAAATCGGAAGTGTATTTTTATAAGATAAATAAAACATGTTAATATGTCAGTACATCGAATACCGCCCTGTACCTTGTTGTCTCAGTTAAAGTTTTAAAAAAGGAATTACGATTATTTCGTCTTCAAAACATTTATATCTTGTGATGACACGATAAACTTAGCAGCGAGTATGTAGCTACCAAACATGGCACAATATTTATATCAATTATTTATCTCTTACTTCGTGTGAATGTATCCTAAAAAAGAAACCAGGCACCCAACATACCAAAATAAAAATCGCAGGAATACATTTATTGCAGTGTGTTTAAACACGATATCTGCGGAGAAACGACCACTACATTTGTCATATAGTTCGTATTTTACACGTACGATTGCCAGTTAACATGCAAACTTATGGACATCTCTATACATGATTTGATTTTATATCGAGAAATATTTATACAGAAACACATTATACATTAGTCATGAACAGTGGAAAACACCTCCCTGGTGTTATATTAGTATAACCGACAGTTGAATCGCTTTACCGATATTGTATCAGTTGATATTAAGCATCCACGTTGGATTTTTTATGTTCGAATGGTAGATTCTGTATCTCACTGGAGTCTTTGATCTCTGAATTAACGCCACTGCAAATTCCAACATGTATTATGTATTTTTCGTGACCCAACTTTTTATACATTGTAGTAGACATTTTAATTGGATAAATATAAGGTAAATACGCTAAAGAAAATAACTTTCAATAATATTTTTCCAACTGTGTCAGTGTGAAACAGTGAGTCGTAACTCGCCAGTATTCTGCGCTAGACCAACTGGGTGGAGAAGCTCTCATGTTTGACATGGCACATTCTAATGGATAGTAAAAATGTAGAATACGTTTTATGAATGTATAAGATACTATTACCACTGCAGTACACTGATGATGTTCTTAAACCCAGAATTATAAGTCAAAATGTCGCAATGTTTAGTGTAGTCTCTGCAGCGCTAATTCGCAAAAAACGGAGGTTCGCTTGGAGGTTGTTAATTCATAGAGATAGAAAGATTTCTGCTGTCGATGAATTAATTGGTTTTAAATCTCTGAGTCAGATTACCATAGCGACAGGTATTTAAAAGCCGCCGCTGGGTAATTTAATATCTTCAGCGTCATATATTTAATATATTACCACTCAGAAACGACACCAGGAATTGGTGTCCTCAGAGATATTATAAACCCAAAATTGCTATTAGGCACTGCAAAATTTCGAAGTCACTATCACCATATTTTGCTCCGGTAATCATTTAATTTAATAAACTTTGAAAAATAAGGCTATTATCGAGCACAAGTTTAATTAAATCTTGCCCAAGTACTTTCGTTTAAAATAGCATCTTCAGGGGCATCTGAAATAAGCCAAGAAAACGATGCCCTGAAGATGCTATTTTAAGGGAAAGTACTTGAGCAAGAGCAAGCACTTGTGCTCGATAATAGCATTATTTTTCAAAGTTCATTTACTCGAGCATTCAACCTTATATCAATTATTTTTTAATTTAATAGTTATAATATCTGGGACACGTAATGAGGGGACAGCGATATAACTGCTAAGGCTGATAATACAGGGAAAGATAAAAGGAGAAAGGAGTATACGACCTCCGATTGGGAGACGGCACTTAAAGAAGAATCATTTAATAATACCCTTAATCAAACGATCGTGCTTTAACATATAAACTTGAAACGTGTTTTGGTAATTTTGGAGCTACTCTGAAAAGTGCTCTTCCACGGTTTAACGAGAAGATTACAGAGCAGATCTGGTTCCAGTTAACTAGCTATGTAGAGTCAGAGCCAAAATAATTAGAGGCTAAAATCAAAAATTCAGCCTGTAGGGGTTGCCTGTTTCACAAACCGAACAGTTAAACTGGCCATCGCACGAATATTCTATGAATGGTATAATGAAATCTCCAAAATGATAGGGGTTCAAAGGGGTGTTCAGAGAAAATGGAATTCTTGGTTCGTCATCGGGAACAACTTCTCAGATCGGATATTTTTGTCCATTGGAAGGACGTAATCCTGGAAGTGTGTCAATTTCATACTTGAGAAATTATACAGAAATAACTAGAGAGTTTATGACAACCTGGTTATGGTTATAGTTATGGTAGACCCCTTCAGATACTTAGACCTCTTAAAACGAGTCCATTGTGTCACCAATATCATAGAGAATAGGCCCATAAGGACCTAGTCTTCTGCGTTTCTGTGGCTTACGGATCTCCGGACTTCCATATAATCAGCAGGGGCTTCAAGTATGAGCCACTCGTATTGTATTGAACATTTAATTGTTTATTAGTAACCTTGTGCCCTCACAGAAAACCACAAGTCTCTTTCCAGGGTTACTCCCTCATTTGGCTCGATTGTATAAAAACTGAAACCAGGATCTGCCACTTATGATAGACCAGTGCTGGGTACTTTCAGAGGACATGTGTGGAGGTTTCCTTATGACAAAGACGGCAGTGTGACGGCCATCCTCCAATTCAAGCAAATAAAGATGCCGCCTGAGTTTACAATCGCCGGTAAGCATACTGATCACCAGAGAGCATATTTTACGGTCTAGAAAGAGATGTTGGGCTGTGAGACTTTTGGATGGGCCTACTATGTGGAGCCTAGCCTATCTCATACCTCCACAACTGGCTCAGGAGTCCTGGAACCTTTGCAGAAGAAGCTTTTTGAGACCCCAACCAGTACTGAAGGGCACTCCAATCACATGTTCGGGTCCCACCAGCAGAATGAAGCAGCTCTCTCTTGCAAGGGCGTCAGCCCGTTTGTTCCGTTTTTTTCACGCCTATGTATGTGTAAATTGTAGTTAAACCTATTGGTCTGGGCAACATCATCAAGTGCTTCCTTGAACTTAAGAACCAATTAACTTTGGGCACTTTCAAAGCCCTTAACGCTGCTTGACTGTCAGAGCAGATAGAGATGGTCCTGCCTGAACAAGCTCAATGTATTATCTTCTGAACACATACCAGGATCGCAAAGATCTCGGCCTGAAATACTGATGCATGGGAGCTAAGAGCCTGGCCAGATTCAAATCCGATACCTCTCCCGTATACTCCAGAACCTGCCCGCTCGTCCAGTGGGATGAGAACCGGACATATTACACCCATATGATAACGTGAAATTTAGGGATACTGTCGCTGCACGTTGGTCAGTAGACCCTAATGGTATACCCAATAATACTGTTCCCCAGAGGGATCAGGCTGAGGTGCAGCAAAAGTGTATCTGAACTTCTGAAAATACTTTCGGGACTCGGGAGGAAACCCAGAAAAAGGATTTGTAAAAAAAGATAATTTTGTAGCAAAAAGAAGCGATGTGCTGAATTAATATTTAAAGATATTAAAAATAGGTGTATTAAATAACTTTAAAGATATTTTAATGAAATGTTTTTACTGTAAATCAATACAAAATACTAATAATGTAAACCTTCTTTCGACTTTGTGCCGGATGTCTCTTCTTTTCTTAAGCCTGTATCTACCAATTTTTAAAAATAGGCATCTTTTATTTATTGTCACTGGTTTCTATTCTGCGCGATTCGTACCCACTGTTTACGTGCTATTTCTTTAATATCATCTCTCCACCTCTTGTGAGAGTGCTCTACACTAATCTTCGTCGTTCTTAGTCTCCATTCTGTGGTTTTCTTAGTCCATCTTTGTTCTGTGTGTTTCGCTACCTGACCTATCCAGCGCCACTTTATCCTACCTATTTCTATTATAATATCTATATATCTTTTGTTCTTTTTCTAATTTCTTTGTTCCTGATCTCTCAGTGAAACATTGAGCATTGCTTCTTCGATAGCTCTTTGTATTGTTTTGAGGGTGCGGGGTATATACAGAAATTTATTGCTGAAGTCCATGAATGCAGTTAAAACATGCATTCATTTCACATGTATCTATTTCGCTATTCACACTGAGCTGTGATTTCAACGAGAGACTAGAGTCTACAAGAAGATCTGTTTGGGATGTAAAGGCAAACACTTGTATTTAAATGAAACTTAATACATAGTTATCACTTTTATGTAGATAAATAATTGATATGTAATTGTAAACTTCCTATTTGGATAGAAATCGAATTAACATCAGTGTTAGCAACTCTGGAGACTAAGATTATTGTGCCAGTATCATAGTCTTTTCTCAGCAACAGCTACTGATTATAAATTGCAATAAATAAACGAATAAAAGTGTAAATTAAAAAAAACAATTATAGATTAATCAATTTTAGAATGAATTAATAAATTTTAAGAAACAGGTATTAATACTGCATTCTCAGAAGAATTACTTACATATATGCATGGTATTTATAAAGCTTTACAATTAAAACATTATGTAAGTATCGATCCAACAAAGATTGCATTGCATTCCTTTAAAAGCGCTTTATGGACAGTTTTATTAAAATATAAATATTTAGAATAAATATGTGGAAAATAAATGCTTAATTTCGTGCTCAAATCGCTATAGACAAAGCAATCATATCAAATACCAGTTTCTAAACATTAGAAGACCATTTACTAACCATTTGTTCATATAAAAGTCAAAAGTTCCTTGGCGCCACACATTTTGACGTTAACATAAAAGGTCGTACCACAAAACTCGATTAACTTTTTTGTGTGTTCAAACTACACAGCTACAAAATATACAGAAAAATAACGAAATTCAGATTTTAATTAAGTAAAGAATTTAACCGGTCACCCTCATCTAGAACATAATAAAGCCCAATTCAAATGCTAATCAAGCAGCATCCAAAGAAATCTTACTACTTTAATTACGCCGACCGGCCCACTACCTTTTGGAAATATTACAGAAAATGACACTCGTACAATACATTAGAAACATGACTCAGAGACGGCGCACGGTAGAGGAAATGCTACAAAAAATTGTCAAAAATCAGAAAAATCTGTAAAGGGTCATAAAGTTATAGAGGGCTTGTTATAGGTTTTTTGACGCTCCTTTAAGAAATGGAATGCTTAATTAAATTTGTAAAGGCTGGTGTGGCCAGGCACCAGAGGTTCCGGAAATAGCGGCAGAGAGTTTTCTTTGGATGTAGCTCCGGGAGGTTTTATTGGATGGCTTCTTCTAGAGTTTAGAAACCTAAAAAGCAGATGTTTTCTCGAAGGCAAGTAAGACTCTTTGAGGACGCTTTGAGACCCAATGGGGCTTCTAATTTGAGCTCATATTTTGAGCTAACTCATTATAGTATTATTGTGTCATTGACTTAATGTTCAGAGTGAGATCGCAAGGAGGCGGGACTGTCATAGTGACAGGCTGGGTTTTCCTGAAGTATGTGGATACGTTGCTTGATCTGGCTTTTATGCCTGCAACTTTCGCTAATAAGTATTACGAATTTATAAGCTAATCTCGATATTATAATGGGTTTTGACGTGAAGAAAAGCTGATTATTACGTTTTGTCTAATTCCCGTTTATTTTATTAAATTTTGTAAAATACTGACCGTATAATTTTATCTTTGATAAGTTTTTTTTTTAAATCATTTTATGCCGTATTAATAAAATTTTGATTTGTTGAAAATAACAATTTTTCTCCATTGGCCTTTATCTTCAGCTGCTCTAAGATCTTCGCAGAATAAGTTTCAAGCTGAGTTCTTAATTTGGTCGGACCATCTAGTTGATGATCGTCCTATTGATCTTCAACCAGGAACGTTTCCAAAAACAATTAATCTATCTAAACTATTGGTACCTCTGCGAACCACATGACCAAAAAATTTAAGTTTTCAGAGTTGGTTTAGAATGGAAACGTTTGTCCTATGAGCTGTCAAAGGTGTGCACAGAATTCTTCTCCAGCACCACATCTCAAAGGCATCAATTCTTTGGTGCTCGCATCTGCGAAGAGTCCAGGTCTCTCATATAAATATTAAGAATACAAGGACATTCACCAGTCTCATCTTGAAGATAGATCTGTCTTTCCAAAACTCATCGCATTTTTTGTTTGCAATACCAATATGTCTCCAAATTCTGCTTCACAGTTACCATCGTTAGTTATACTAGACCCGAGATATATTCCACTATCTGATATCTCTGTAACATGTTAGTCAGTTGAAAAGTGTGGAATCTGTCTTAGCTTTATTGATTTTCAGACCAACTTTATTGCTTTCATACTTAACGCTTTACTGGAGATTACATATTTCTTGCTTATTTGCTGCTATAAGTGTAGTGTCATCAGCAAATTTTCCTACCAGTCACTGTTACTCCACCGGCTCATCCATCTAAAGCTATCTTCATGACATGTTCACCATAAATGTTAAATAAGTCAGGTGACAACACGCATCCTTGTCTAATACCTCTCTCGGTCTTAATTTGGTTTGATAACTTCTGATCTTATAGTTTATTCGTCTTCCGGGTTTGGACCGTGTCATTTGTGAGTGACCCAAAAGTGGGTTCATCTCGACGTTTCGCTACAATTGTATGTAGCTTCTTCAGGAGAACAAAGAAAAAGAAATCAAAAGACAGGAAGATGGGTAGTTAGCAACGGTAACTCAGTTACTCAACGCAACCAGAGGCGAATACTAACTACCAAGATGGGCATTTGGTCACAGTAACTCAACCACTTAACGCAGCCAGAGGTGAAAACCAAATACCAGGACAGGGATTCACGTCCAACAGCTCAGAACAGTTAGTGTTCAAATGTCCAAATGTCCAAATGTTCAATGCCCAAGTGTCACATGAAATGTTATTTATATTGAAGTTTTTTAACAATTGTGTCGCATTTTAGACTACTATCGTTAATAATTAATTAAAACTTTCTCGTCTAGGACACATTCTGAAAAATATTATATAGCTACAGTTAATAAGTGTCGGAAAATTTAAATTTGGCGCATTCGCGTTTCCGGATATGTCCGCCATCAGAGGCCACTTTTTGGTCTCCTTTTCATAAGGATTAGATTCCCTCTTTTGTCTTTTTGCTCGATGGCCTTTACCCATGATACTAAGGCAGAGCGCCCACCAAACTGGCGTGCAAGTAGCACGTAGCAAGTAGCACGCGTCTAGCATGTTTCTTAAAATGTAACCAATGAAAACGAATGATTAGAATGAATGACATCACTGTCATTTTGGTGTGCGCTGAATCATTCGTTTTCATTAGTTACATTTTAAGAAACATGCTAGACGCGTGCTACTTGCCACTTGCCACGTGCCACGTCACTTTGGTGGGCGCTCTCACTAAGACTAAGAAGACAAGATATTGCGCATAAGTCGTGACGTCATTGGAGAGTTTGACGTTTGAAATGTCAGTTTTTTGTATGTATCAATAAATAATCTTTAATAAATAGTTTGGAGATATTCTTATGTGTACGATTATTGTAATTACTAAACCTCTTAACTTATTTTCGTCTAGTAATTTCATCCCAGAATGCATACAAATCCCATTTAACTTTAACAAAAATTCAAATTCTACTCTCCAATGACGGCATGCGCGAACACGACCGATTTTGGGCTACGGGAAGATCCTATCTTGTTATTCATAGTATCATGCCTTTACCCATCGAGCAAAATTGTCTTTTTGCTCGATGCCTTTACCTCTGTAACATTGTAATTCTTGATTTCATTTTGCATTTTCATTCTGTTTTTGCTCAGTTATTTTTTGTGTGCGTAGGCCTTAGTGCTTAGATATCAATTTTTATTAATTTTATCAAAATGGATATTAAACATTATACTGGTTTTAAGTATATCACATGATATCCTATTTCAACCAGCTACACCAAAAAAGAGAAAATATTTAATTGATGCAGGGCATGTACGCAATGTTTCGGAATATAATAGCTTTTTTATTGTACACCATCGAAATATCATGTTTGTATTATAGGTTGTTTACTTATTTTTCTTATTGATAGCAATAATCCATTTTTTCCTTTGAAATGAATAAAATTTACAATCACTGTTATACCCAGTATTTTACATGTATCATATCTTTTTCTTTTTGAAAAATCCATATTCGCCAACAGCGTTGGTGAAAACTGTCAAATCCCCTCTACTCATCGGCTCACAGCGAATATAAATACTGGGTCTGGAATCGAAACTAGGTGCAAATTAAAATTGGAATTTAGACAGAATATTTAGTAGACAGAAAGTTGAGCGCCAACTATTTCTAGAATGAAAATGGTAAAGTATAAGAAAAAATTAATAAATGAATAATATCGAAAGAAATTCAAAAAATTATCTAAAGAAAGATAACAAACATGTGATATTTATAACGTTAAACGCCGTCTACACTATCTATCGAAGTTCTTCAAACACTGTGTGTTTGAAGTTTATTTCTTTGACTCCAACGCGAATAACCGACACAGAACGTAAGTGGAATGAGGCAAAGCGAAGTCACATGAACTACCTGTCTACACTCTCGTACTCGCTGAACTTCGATCAACTTCGCGAGTAGAATAGTGGCCGCTTTACACCGCGATATAGAGATTCTAATTAGGGAGTTGTTATACGAGCACTAATGCCATCACGTTGATAACACGGAAAACATTGCGCATAACTTCGAAGTAACTGTAGTTACGTTTCCATACATAACTGTAGTTGCGTCACGTTGACAGCGCTACGTATAACTTGATGCGGGCTATATGCAACGCGCAACCAGACGTGCTAGCAGCGCTTGTCGTCGGGATAAAGTGGACTCGCAGACTGCAATGTTGTTCTTATAATTTAGTCCGTGGTAAAGATAGTGCAAGCACTCCTGACCATGGAGCTGCGCGAAGGCGGAGTCAAAATTCACGTAAAGACAGAAAAGTTCTATTGTAAGTGGAACTATACAGTGCATAGTACAATGCGTTTCGCATGGAAGTGGAGATTAAACCAAATTTCGTCTACTGCGCCGTGGTCAGGAGTACTTGCACTATCTCTACTGTCATTTTCCGGTTGGGACGATGTTAACGCGACGACATTAGCGCTTGCATAACAGGGTTCTTAGACAGAATGTAAATGCTTTCTTACAAAAAATGAGTTGTATCCAGCTGGCTTAAACATATAACACTAAAATAATCTGCACGCCCCTGGCAGTATGTTAATTTTGACCATCGTAAACATTTCCAAAATTGTTCTACTGACAGATATGCGGGTATCCGGAAATAAAAATGTTAATATGCACATTGATTATTTTACATAATTTAAAATATCTTCAGAAGCCATTAAGTGGCTTAAAATATATTTTTTAAGTGACAGGGCAACAAAAGATATTGTGGGTATTCAAAAGGATGAAAAGCAAACAATTTGTCTTGAAATATTGAGAAAATTAGTTTGTTGGTAATTCCTAATATATTCATATTTAACGACTTTTCACAGCAGCCGCTAGATTGCTCCAACTGACCAGTTGCATATTTCATGTCAATTTGTATATTTCATTTTTAGTTGACACATATTTCGACCTGTGCCGATAAACATATTTCGTGGCTTTTTACAAAAGTGATCGTCTTCTTCAAAATATTCTGAATTTTGTAACACTTTTTTATAAATTTTGGTCCTATAAAATTACTGCTATATTTAGTAGGACACGCTTTATTAATCTCTCTTCAATCCTAAACTCACGGAGGGAGTATAGGGGTCATCGTGATGTAATTTGATAGATCCATCTTGATAGAGATGGATATAACTTTGAGATACGGTATCTAGTTCAAGAATTAGTCCCTTGGCTCCTGAATTATTATTACTGCTTCAAACACTATTCTCTCTTTTTGTAAGTTCTTCTTTCTAACCACTCTTTGGTGCGGTTTTAGGAAATGTCAAAAAATGAAACTCATATTAATTCGTTCAAACCTACCATTTCCTATTATAGAAGAGATGCCCCTAATAGGTTGTATCTAGCAAGTGATTTATCATTTATTTCAATGTATAATGATTTTATAACTAAGTATGGTAATTATAAATATCAATAAATAAATTCAAAGTATCGAGTCGTTGCAAATAGAATAAATATGTCTACAGTTAAGTTGGGACTCGAATGGTGCGAGTTGTGTAAACAATTTTCATTCCATGACAGCTTACAAACAAAAGAAAACGTAGATGAATTGGATAAAATATGTAAAAAGTGGAAAAAACTAAAGATAGACCTGACATACTGTATGTCAATGACAAAATAAAGACATAAACTTGGATAATGTAAATAGGTAAAGAAATAATAAATAAGACTTACTCACAATCAATTTAATTTAACTATTTAGACGACCGGTTTCGCTTTCTACAATATGCAAAGCATCTTCAGGTCTCGATACAAAGTTAAATAAATGCTGAAATGATAAAAACCCATATTAGGGTGTTGTCTAATAAAGATAAACAAATTAGATGTTAAAAATTA